AGGAAAACTAGACCATTTTACGAACAAAACGATGCAACATTTTTGTTAACTATTACATTTTTTATAAAATAGTCTCTTGATTTTTCACCAAATTAACAATGACAACCATATCAACCAATTTTATCTTTATCGCCATCTGCTTTACCTTTCTCATTACGAATACAAAAAAAACGAAACAACACCCACGTAAACTCTGGTCAAGGTATCCCTAATTTGTTCGCTGACTACTCAAACGCCACCTATCAATCACCCATCGTACCTAATTTCCATATCAAAATATCTGGAATATATAATAAACTTTGTCATACTTGTGATGCACTGTTTGGAACCTTTGCTGTAGTAATATTCATTACTACAGCATTAAGATTAAACTTCCTCTTGAAGATGATCACTTGGTGATCGAAACATGTGTCTAGGTGTTAAAAATAACGGTTTGGTGTTGGGATTAAACTCCACTTACGAATATACTTTTCCGAAACTTCACTAAGCTTCAAATAGCCAATTACTAAAAGCTTGAATCAACGTTGTTCTTCACAAAAAAATAAAGAAGCTTTACATAATAAAAAATTCTGTCGTCTGTCTGTCTATGCGCATAGCACAATCTTTTCGAAAAAAAAAATTGTTTGTGTGTGGAATTCAATAAAAATAAAACTATATTTAGAGTTTGTGCGGAAAAAAATCCACTATACTCACTTACTATCTCTGTTGAAATTTGAAATGGGTTCTGTTTATTATGTTCCTACACATATAAGTCAGCGAATAAAGACCCTCTCTATTTGTCAACCGTTTACGCCTTCATTCTCAAATACAGTCGCAAGTAACAAATGTCTCAACTTAAAATTATACTTCACGCGTCAGTATTTACTTTTCATGCCAATTTTCATAACGGTTCAGAAAGCCTGTACGTGTTTTAGGAGTTACTCATATACTATTCAGCTTGCCTATACGCATATTTCTTTTCATTCACCAATTATTGAACAGTATACTCATCAGGTATGCTGTTGGATTTCGCACACACAGATAGGACCAAAATAGAACATGCATTACTCATCTATGATTCGGAGAAATTGTTCATAAAACAACAATTCAACCGTGGGAGTGCCTAAATTGAAGAAACATTCTAATCTCATAATCCCATCGCTGATAATACTGATGATACTAGTTTATCTGCATCAGTACACAAACCAGTGGAATCTACGCTATATTTAAAGTTGATCTTATTTCACCAACACTAGACCATTCATTCTTTTCGAAAATAAAATCGAGATGACGATGACGTTGTAATACGCATGCCAGTTTATTCATAAACTCGCTGTTTGCGTGAAAGTCACTTATTATTTTTATGCATGCTTAAATAGGACTGAAAACGTTTCAAATAAATGTCAAGTAGCATACTGGGGTCAAAATCACCAACAATTCGAAAGTGTAGCTGAAGTTGATATCAATTGGCGGAATGGTATTCAAATTCAAATTTGTTTGTGTATTGACGAATGTGCGATCGTTTTATGAATGAACAAGCTATTACAAAACAACTTTCAGAAACTACATAACAGCAAGAGAATTATTAGTTTGTTGAAGCGTAACACAAGAACCAAAGAAAATGCGTTAGAGCAGCTTTAAAATAGGTTTATTCATTATCCATTAGTGAAAATCACTAATTAATGACTACCAACTAATCATATGTTATTAATAATAATGAACATTTATTTATTTCCAAGAAACTACAATATTCATGTGAATATATAACTTCGAAAGGAGCTATTTCAGAATTGGTCAAATCGATAATAGAAACAAACAAATATGATAATGTAAAATAATATAACAAATAATTCTATGATACCAATTTGAAAATTTCTGTGTTGCAAAATTGTTTATTGTAACTTGGTAGCAATTATTCTGTTGTGAAATATAGATTTTCTGGAAAACGCAGATTCGAAATTTATTGTTAACAGATTATTGAGGTGTCTTGTTTGATGATCATGTACATTTCTATGTTTCATAAACTTCATAGTGGAATGTTTTTTATTCTTCACAACAGACTGCAGTGAGATGCATACTTTCAATTTATGCATAGGCTTTGGTTCATACATAGCTTTTTAGTTAAGAAAGGTAGATGAAAAATGCACTTTGAAGCTTTATTTCGTAAACTCCTCAATGGTTCCAAAGTTGTATTTGTAGCAGTTCCCCACATACTAATTGAATACTGTAATTTTAAATGTATGAGTATGAGAAGTTAATTAGCTTCAGCTCTATATATTTCACGAGAGAGTTTCATCTAGATGTGAACCTAGAGAATTGAACATTAGCGAACCCTTCAATTTAGTTGTAGATAACCTAACACTAATTTTAAAGTAGTTGTCTTAGAGGGCTTCACCAATGGATATTAAGGTGGATTTTTTGAAATTCAAAGTAAATTTTTGTATATTGAGCCAATATCTATTTGTTCTGAATCAGATTCCATGTATTGGTTTATTAATTGTCAATCTTCATTGAAATACATCAAAGTTGTATCATCGGCAATTAGCACTGATTTTTCAGAAAGTTATAATTCCAAAATAGAACTTATGTAAATGAGGAAGAGTAAATGCCCTGATAAAGATTCCTGCGCCACTTCACAAACGAAATTTTTCGATGAACTTTTCCTGTTTTTCAAAGACTACATTGCCTCCAATCACTTGAATAATTTTGAAACCATAAAAATACATTGCCTCTAATACCAATAATAAATTGAAAGGGTATTTGATTAAATGGGCGAGTTAATGTTATTTTCATACTGTCATCGAGGACGATGGTGGATTCAACTTATTCCGCGACAAAAAGTCGTGATTTTATGAACGAATTCAGTGTTTTTTTCTTATAATGTTATCTGTATTTACTACTGAAGAGACGATAAGGCAAGTGTCTTACAGCAAAACATCGAATTTCTAGCAGTGAGGATGACAGTGTTGCATGTAAGTGAAATTTCACTTCTTTCATTAATAATATTGTGTAGGAATCCTGTGAATGATATCTGATTCGATTCCATACGAATGTTTGGAATACAAACGGAATAGAGATCTTTTCGTATAATTCAGCGTTCATATAAAAGTATGTATTTCGAAAGTAATTCAATGTTTATATGAAAATAGCTGTTTTCAAAGGGCTTTTTCTTCCAGTCGCCTATAGCAAAATGGTCATCCACTTAGCTCTTCAATAATATAGCATGAGTATTTATCACCAGAGGAAGAATCTCATTGAGTAATATGTTTTTCAGAGCTGGATATGATAATTTTCGTCGTATGATCAGATGAAACATCATCAATGTTGATATTGCAATTTGTCATTATTGATTGATCAAACAATCAGTTGAAAACAATCGAAATATTATTCAACAGAGTTTAATTTTTATGACAGACGGTTCCTACACTGTATCTATAAACGATGGTATTTTGAATAAATCCTTCAAATTGATTAAAGCACTTTTTGTGGAAGATTCAGCTTTTTCTCTCAGTTCATTGAAAAGTAACAGAATTTAGAACAGGAGTAAAATGATGAATATTCTCCGAATATCGAATTTTAATTAGTTTCTCAACAAATGCTTGTCCTTATTAAAACGGCTTTCAAGAGGAAATGCTGACATTTGCTTTCGTCGTGAGCAAACAGAAAACTTCAGTACTGGAACTAATAAATTCCAAAGAATTCAAATTGTATGGCAAATATATTCCCTTCTATTCTGCGATTATTTTTTGTATGAATATTTCATTATGGTGAAACAGCCTACAAATGTGTCATTTCAGCCTTGATGGTGACATGTCGATTCTAGACATATATTTACGTATACATCAGAAAAAACACTGCGAACACTGTTTTCTGTAAATAACAAACATCTCCAGACGGCCTAACTGATATTGATCAATTTTTTGCGCCAACAATTTATGAAGGTGGTGAAGAACATTAGGACAATCAACAAATCCATGGAAATAACCCAATTTTTTTAACAAAACGTTTATAGAACAACGGGAGATTTGATGATATTTGTATCAATATACTATACTGTTACATACAGGATACTACATACTTATATATGTGTGATGTTATTATATATGTTTTAGACTAATTTCACAAATTGGAACATACCTACTTTTTCAATGATAAATCATCGCGAAAATCATCCTTAGTGAAAATGTTGTTTATAAAAAATGATGTGCTTGTTGATGGTTGATTATTATTCGTCAAACGCCAAAATTGGATTTTTCAACGTGAAGTAACAATAAAAATGCGTTTTTCGAGAGAAAACATTTTTTTTGAAATGCTTGAAAAAGCCTTCATTTCTGTTTTTATATCACCCCAATTGAGAATAATCGTTTATACATTACACTTTACCTCATTCATGTACTTTCACTCTAGAAGTTTTCCGGTTTGAAATGTGTAGTATTGAAAAAAATTGAGTGAAGTGAAAGAACATTTTTGTACTTTTGCCTAAAATTTCCATCTTTATGAAATAACTCAAAAATCATTGATGATATGCAAAATATAGCCATGAAAACGTAAGACTATAAGTTCAAAATTTGATACTTCCACTCGCAAATAAGTTGAAAATTGTTGAACTTCAGAAAAAAACTTCATGAAGTCATTATAGACCTAGGTCAGTTAGTTCTTTTGACCAAAACTATATACCTATATCATGTACCTGACCCTTGTACGGATTCGAGTCAAAATTTTGAGACCTTTCAGAAAAACAAAACGCTAATGGCAGTTTTGAAGTCTGATTATTCGGATTTTTTTTATCAGGTTCCAGCAGTTCTGAATATTTCAACACATTCTAAATTTTTTATTCAATATTTCAAACGAATTCTACTTATGTTAGAAACAGTGCGCAAACATAAAAGTACAGAAATAATTTTGATGAAAAATTTGGCTGACTCTCGCATACACCTAGCCAAAGTTGTTTCTATATTTAATTTATTGCCAGCACAAGTTTCTAGAGATTTTCTGGTATTTAGGCGAAACATGACTCTTACCTGTGTTGCTTCTGTATTCACCGATGTATCTTCTTGTCAAATATCGTACGGTCAAAGCTGGAACAAAAAAATTCTTGTTGAAATATTGTTTGTAAGGAAATATATTCATCAAAATGGTCTATCAAACAAGAGATGAAAGTAGACTAAAATAAACTCTTCACAAACAAAAACTATTGAAACTCATTTTGATTTTCCACGTGTTTTGTTATATATTAGCCTCCTCCAGCAGGATTTGATTAACTTGATTAGAATTAAGTATCTGATTGGACCGAAGAACATAGCAATGTTTTTAGAATATGAAATGTTTCAAAATAAAAGTAGTTGATCAAATTTTTCGAACATATTGTCGAATGACCATTTAATTTTTCTTCATTTACTTTGTTCCCGTTTTCGTCTTCTACACCATTTTGATGTGTGCAGTTTATTTAACGACGTGAAAAAGTGAATAGGAAATTATTATAAAATTCAAAAAGATACTGTGGATCATTCGATAATAATAAAGGAAAAAAGGAAATGTTTCTATTTATCGATTAAATCTAACTAAAAAGAGTAGTTTTTATTTTTTGTTGCCGCATTCCCTTTGATGATTTATTTCTCATTTTTCTATAAGTTTGATGACAATAAACTGAACGATATTCATTCATGTTTTGGGACAAACTTTTGGAAATAATATGAAGTAAACACATCTTTCAACATGGAAAAAATAATGTTTGAATTTTGTCACAAGAAATTTTAAGTTTCAGGAATTTTTTTATTTAAATTATCAGGTACTCATACTGAAGTACTTGAACTTTTTTGAAATATTATTCTAAGGATTTAATAGATGAATATAACTTTTTCTGAAATTCAAATGTTGCTGGGTAGATGACTAAAAAGTGACATGACATATTTTCAGTTTCAGACATCTGAATGATCTATTAAAATTTCCAACTGAAAATTTTGAAGTATTGTTGATTGAAATTGAAATTGGTGAAACGAAAAGATATATTTCTGTCCGATTATGGAAGCACACATTCCGTCTCACCGAAATAAATCTGACCAAATGAAAAATCACACCATCGAAAAATCTCGCTGTAAACTCTACACAGATCGTTAAAATCGACCCACCTCTTCGAAACACGTTAAATTTTAAGAAAACATCTGAAAATAACCCTTCATCCTCGGCATTCGATCACAAGATTTATTGCGAACCGTTCACCTCAATCGAAATCCCGATAATACGTCGCTTTTGATTTGCAGACTGTCAATACAGGCGACCTAAATAATAGAGCAATGAGATCAAGGCCTGGATAGTGAAACGGGAAAACGATGTCTATGCATTGATAGGTGTGGCTAGGTGAGGGACAGAAACAGGTGAAGTAAATGTGTCACCTACATTATCAACAGTAGAAAAAACCCATTAACTGCTTTACAACCATCAGCAGAATATGACAGGACTCAACTGTACTACTAATATTAAAAAGTAATAAAGAGGTTGAAATGGCGAATGAAAGAAGGTTCCAAAGAATGAAACTGAATTTTGAACATTCCAACTGAAGAAATCAGTTGAAGAATCTAGAATCTAGAAAAGTTTATATAAAATAATATAAGAAAACAACATTTTTCTACGGATGCTATACAATGTGCCACTTCTCTCATCGTTTTCATACGTTCAACACGAAAGATTTCTCACGCAGTGAAAAATATTCGCCATTACAGTGAGAAATCACGATAACTCAAGTCAGTCATGAATTGTTACATGTCAGATTGATATGACACGTTTCCCATATTGACAACGCTACGCCGACGATTCGCGTGCAATATCCAAGTAGCCCATTGTCGGCGTTTCCATAACAACAAAACCGAAGCACTGCGTAATTATTGCTGTCAACTTACCCAACGAAAATAGTTTTATTGTTGATTTCACTTGCTTGATTTGCTTGCTTGCTTCTGCGCTCGTGAGAAATATGTCGTTTTTGTCACTTGTTGTACAATATTCTAATTTTTGGAGCAGGTATTGCAGCTGGAGACAAGAAAGAATGACATTTTTTTTTCTGTCCAAGCTTTCGAAACTTTATTACCTCTTCTTCAGGAACTTCAAAGTGAGGTTATATAGTCGATGCCCCAAAAAAACATTTGGAGTTTTAAAAAACATTACTGTGAAGTTGGATCTTCCAACATGTTCTATGAAAGATTCAAAAATGATGTGACGTTACTATAAGTTATTTACTTTTCTTCGCAAAACTTACGAATTTGCAGTTATTCTCGTTGAGAGAATCGGCTGCAAATTCGTTAGTAAAATCTTAGATATAATCTAGTTAATCAATGTTTCGTTCCCAAAAATCGTTTGTATGTATTTTCAAACTTTTCCTAGTTACAACGGAAGTAGTTGGAAAAATAAATATTTTATTATTAGTATGAAAATGAGCATGTTCCACATTGTAATATCAAATTTTTACGTTAATAAATTGAAAGTGGGCAAATAAACTGGTAAAAACCTGTTTGGTGCTTCTCGAGATATTCTATGAATCTATTAATCACATTCGATATATTATTGAAAACCCGTCAAATCAAAACACGCCTCAGACATAATTGATTCGAAAAGTAGTTTTTTGGCAACTAAAATGTTTACAGTCAATTGATTTTCTACTCAAATAACTTGTCTTCACTAATATTTTATCGATTCAAACATCAATTTATTCTGCTTGTGAAAATATTTTCGTTGTGAGAAATTTTCAATGGAACAATTTTACAGAAAAATGCAATATCTACCAAACAGTTTTGAAAAACCTTGAATCACTGTTCAGATACATACTGATATGAGAGTTAAATTCTGTGGAATGTAATCTATAATGTATTTGAATCGTTCTACCAGACTTCTAATATCATTCTGCGACATATTTTTACCTGATTTTCCAACGTTTGATTTGCCAATCACTGCTATACGAACTTTTGGCATGTTATTCTTATCCTCCGTTTTCATCTTCTGAAACAAAATAGAAACAGTTATTATCATCACCGAGTCGTTCTGATTCAGTCAAATAAGCAAACAAAACATTATTATCAGATATTTGATATTGTACATATGTTTTTTTACAGCAAACAAGAATCACATTCATATATTTCTGCCCAAGATTTTTTCCTAATTGTCAATGCCAGTTTCTTTGCTTAGCAATGTCATGACATAAGTGATAACTACCCGTGAAAACTATCCATGGGTAGTTATCAGTGTAATGATGGTTTCATTGGTTATTTCGACACACATGATTAGAAATATACAAATTTGATAGGATAATTTTTTTGGCAAAAAATTTTCTGTGTAATTGTTTGTATAATAACTTATTTATAAACTGTTATTTGTTATGAACGACTACTTATGGTAAACAAAATCAAAAGCTCATTGTCAACCAAAACAGGCAAATTAATGGTTATGAATAACATGAAAGTGTCATAACAAATATTCGTAAACATTGTTGACGTTTGTAATTTTCTATGCTTTCACCGTCAATGATAAAACCACGATATAAGGGATGTCTTAATGTGTTTTTGCATCAAAACATTCTACCATGCCACAGCAGGATGATTTTTCAACGTACTTTATTGAATATCAAATGAAAGAGATATTTATCGCTCGAATAAAACGAGCAGATACCTTATCTAAGGTATTAAAATAATATAATCACTACCTGTTCACGTGATGGGAAATATCAATCTGTTCGACGAAGGAGATTAATTCTTTGTTTATTGGAAACTGATGACCGTTCTATATTAGAAGTGAGTTTTACAAACTCACTTCTAATAAAAGAGATTGCTCTTCCAATAGGAAAGTATAATGTTGACAATTCAAGGTGTAACAATACATGAAAGCTACATTCTTTTTTACGACTCTTTGGGTTCAAGGTGAATTTCCAAAACGAAATTAACACCGCGCCAAGAAATAAAAGTCGGCCGTTTACGAAAATCAATAAAATTCAAATCAGTCAACGACACTTTTTATTTGGTGTGCACAAACAAATGTTCATTGTGCGAAAAGTTATTTTGAATGAATGAAGAGCATCGGTTTCCTGTTGATGATATTGAGGTTATATAAATACCTATGTTTTCTTTGGATCATGCTAGGTCATGAATCCATAGGCATGTCTCAAATGGGTCAATCACCCAAGTGGCCTGGATGAAACTGAGTGAAATATGGTTTATAAGATACAATGAAGAGGTTTATTGTTTGCATATGATCCAAATATGCATCTATCTATTCCCAATTGGAACGGCAATAAAAATAAGAGTACAGTCATAAACATTTCTTGCCTGTGGCCTCTAATCGCCCAGATAGTTAGTAAACGTGCTATCACAATATTTCTTTATCAGTGCCGTGTGTTCGTGGGGTAAGGTGAGGTAGTGAGTGGTTTTGCAAACCAATTTTTGAAAACTTTTTCTAGAGATCAATTACGCGCTTTCCCTAACAAGGTTAGCATCTTTAGGAGAAGCAACTTGATACATGAATCTAAAGACAAGGGTTAGCTGTTTATATACCTACAGTTTTTTGGTCCGATGTGGACTTTGTTTGTTAAATGATGATTATCCTAATTGATTTTTCGGTAAATAACTAGTGGAACCCCTACCTGCAAATTACTTTGTCAACGATAGATTAAAAAGCGGACAAATTAATTAGCTGGTAGTGGTTTCACTAGTTATTTACCGAAAAATCAATTAGGATAATCATCATTGGTATTGGAAATATTATAACAGATATGATAATACTAATACATCTTTATTCACCATGAAAGTATAATTGAAACAAACAGAAAGAGAAAAAACAAAACAATTTTTAGTATAAAGGTGAATAGGGGGATTATCAGCCAAGGCTGTTTTTCAACTCAACCTGAAAATAGCAATAATTAAACAATAACAAAGAAGTCGAATTAACATGGATACTATCATGATAAGATCAGAAAATGTATGCCAATGCTGTAGAATTTTTTTTTGTAATGCCAAGGTCGGAAACGGACAAGGGACTAGACAGTTGAGTAGGTCTTTCGCTTAATGAATAAAGTTTTTTATTGCAAAAGGAGAAGTGGAGTATACACCTGACATAAAACAACAAAAATCAAAAAGTGTTTTTATGAAACGATATTTTCAAATTTTGGGAAGCTTCATTGAAGTTTTATATCCAAACTAACCTCGGCTAGGAAGGAGAGAAAATGATGAACGTTTCATAAAATGTTTGTTTATAATGTTTCAATAGTAAACTTTAAGATTTTCACTGTGGAGAACTGTGTACCAAAAAGTTTTGCTTGTCATTCGACATCTTAAAGGTTATGTAATTTTATGATAAAGTTGTTATTCAAGGAAAACAATATTTGTGTACTGTTTGATTATTTTCGATTATCTTTGGAAAACGTATTGCTATCCTCTTTATTACATAACCTTCCAGAATCTGAAAAATTAACAAAGCTGAATCTATTGATTTAGCTCAACAAACCTTTGTTTATTTTTCAGTGACAAAGCTAAATATAATGATTCAGATTGACGAAGCTTTGTTTATGGAATGGTATATACCAAAAATAAGTAAAAAAACTATCAAACCTATTTCATTATTTCAAATGATTTATCTTCTTGTGGTTTTTTGTGGATGGAGAATAGTAATTGTCACAAAAAGATATCAGTTATGTGTTTATATTCATACATAACAGTTTTCATCAGTGAAAGAAAGGTTTTGACTTTCTATTTCTTCATTTTCATACAAAAAATCTGGGAATCTTTCAAAGTAAGAAAAGAAGCAATTGATTTTAGAATGAACTGTTGATAAGAATGTGTAGATTATGCAAAGAAGTAACTTTCAGGCACAAACTGGAAAAAAAGCCTTCTCCAAACAGCTACTTTCATATTTACGTTGAATTACACAATAGAAAAAGTACTTCCGAAAGAAATACTAGCATTATACAAAAAACATTGCAAAAAAAGTAATAAACTAAAATTGGAGTTGAAGTCAATGACAAATGCAAACTGAAACAGTAAAATATTTTTGTGGAATGAATTAATAATGGATCGAATACGCATCCGCTGAAAAGATTAAAGATTGCTCCGAAATATAAAGCTCAAAGTTTAATCTTCAAAAGTAGAATTTTTGACATTCAATCAGTCCACGTTAATATTAATCTGAAGTTGTTTGTTTCCTTCAGGAACTGTCAACCGTTTTGTATATTTCGAACAAATTTCACGAGCTGTTGGCAACTGGAACGACCATAAATAAAAAAATAGGCGCCACGAATTCTTTCTGGAAATCGTGTTACTTTTATGTAGGAAGCCGTTTTGAGGCTCGGGTGTGCGCATATTTAGTGTGAGTTTGACTGCAAAATATTCAAAATTTGCTCGGTATTTATCAACATCAACATTCTCGTTTGTGTAAGGAGAATTTGACGACAAATCATAATATCTATGTATACAAGAATGTGACTAATCGAGAATTTGGCAACCTCAAGACGAGTCCTAAACCTTGACTTGTCTAGGACACTATGACATGTTGATTGAATTCAACCAAGTTTTTCATTGAGCTTGATATTGAGGTGATTGATATTTTTAGGATTATTTCGAAATTTTGTTTGGTTCATTGTGAATAATGTTTGAAATGATAAAATTAGGAGCAAAATAATGTTTGTTCTTTTGAGTCATTTATGAGTCACAGTTCAGAAGGTACGAATTTTGGAATGAGTTCAATTCTCAAGTAAGAATTTCCAAGATTTGAAATTTCACATATATTCTCCGATGAAAGGGAGATATATGCCTCTCTTTGTTTTCTCTATGAAACATACTCCTTTGATGTTTTCATTCAAAGCATTAGTTCATCTCTGAGGATTTCTACATAGGAACAATTCGAATGGAACTTTGTAATTTGTCAGAAATTTAACAGCTTTTTGATCCTCAAAAATGCTCATTCTTTCCAAATGAAAGAGACATACGTATCACTGACAGAAAGCTTGAATATGTCAACTGCAATGTAAAGTTTCCTGCTAAATTTTGAAGTAGTAGAGGAATATAAAAAGGCAGAAAAAAATTGATATGCGACTATTTTAGATTGAATAGTCAATGAAATTGAAAAGTTCTCAAAACTTCTTCTTGTTAGGAATCACACGTTAAAAGGTAAAACCTCGTTAGTCCTTAGTTCGCATAAGTTTCGACTTCTGAGGGTTGTAGTTCGTTGGGGGGCGATAGCTGGTTAACGGAAAAACATATTTTAAACATTTTTTTTAACATGAACCAGTGATAAAATTTTGAATCAAACTCAAAAAACGGGTGTACTACCCAGTTCTGTCATAATATGGCGAATGCGCCAGTAAAACAATAAAGCAAGAGATTTGCAAACAATCTAGAACAATACAGGCACAGGAAGTCAGGAAAAAATAATTTTCAGTAGAGAAACTTAGCAAGTGAGCAGAGAAACTGAAAAGTTTGTATAAAAATCTTACAAATAAACAAAACGATTACAAAAGATAGAAGAAGTTCCATAAAGGCACCATGAATTCATTTTTCACGTTAGCATTTGGAGATTTATTTATTTAAAAGTTCATTTCAGCTCCTTCTATACTAAAAGATCGAAATTTATTGAAAACTGTATTATTTCTTAACAATTTTTTTGATAGGAAAATACTTAAATACGACAAGTTACTGATAAATAGAAGATTTTTCTTTGTGAAAAATACTTTGATTTTTTACGCAGTAACTTATCGGGGTGAACTAAAAAGTTTGCCCTTCTACACTTGTATAAAGTTCTCCATTATAATTTTTATATTTTTCAGATCGTGGAAGGTAATAAATACCCAAAAAAAGTCGATAAAAACTGTTTCTACATGTTGTTTTATTTGCATATATTTTTTTATTTTCTCTATTCCTCAAATTAAACAGAAACAAAAATTATTTTCATTGTTTTTCACATATAGTCAGTGGGCATACGTGAAGACTGGCTATAAATCAAATCATCTAAAGGAACGATTCATTCAGGCCAGTCTCAACTCCCTACA